CCCTGTGACTTGCATGCCGAAGCGATGCATTTATGGATTTTTTCACATATTTATAAACCAATTTTTGGCTGAGATATGACCGTTTTCATTCATTCTGACTGAAAATATTGAACACTACCATTTTCAGCCATTAGATGGCACTCTAGCAGTATGGTATGCCGTTGTATCATGTAATTGGTAAAAGTGGCTATTAATGACACAATCGGCTTGCCAAAACTGCCACCGTCGTCTGCCTGGAGCAACAGTCAAATCATTTTCATTTTTCTGCGCCGCCCCGGCGAAATGCAGCTAATTTAAATTATTGAGGTGCATTTATTAAGTCAAAGTTAGACCGAGACACACCTTTACTATAAAGTCGAGCAAACAAATAATTGTTTTAGGTGCTTATCTAGTTAACATTTCGAAGAAATGAACGAGACGCCCTCTGCACGTTCCCGTTTCCGCATATCGGCTTTTGAAAATGCAGCTGATTTAACCGTCAAAGTGCATTTACTAAGTAAAAGTTCAACTGAGACGCACCTTTATTATAATTTTGAGCAAACAATTGTTTTTAAGTGTAAATCGTGTTAAATTCATGTTAAAATCCTCACGTGCACGCTCCCGCAGCCGCCATTTGGCAGCCAATCGAGTTTTGACACAACACCGGCCCACGTTTCCAGGTTGTCAGTGGTGACGCGTAATAGATGCGACATATACGGCAAAGCAACGTATTTATGTATTTTCCCACTTTATTAGACATATTTGGACTGATGCGACTTTTAGGGCAGTGCGACACGTACGGCAGAAAATACAGTAAAAATTTGCCCCAAAATTAAACAGAATTCAGAACTTTTTGTGCAGTTTATAAACAGCTTTAGTAAAATACATTTTTATAGATTCACCATTTGCAGCTGCTGTGGTTTTTCTAAAAACTAGAAATGACTGAGGTCTCTCCACACCACCAGATATTTTTACGCAGCTTTTCACCTCTGGTCCACACACAAAGATTGTGGGACATGTATTCATTTTTATTTAACTTTTATTTATACAGATAGTCTCATCGAGTCACGAGGACTCATTTTCAAGAGAGACCTGTTTGGGAGCAGATGGTGGGGGTTAATGGCCTTGCTCAAGGGCCCAGAATGGGGCAAATGAGGTGGCAGGTGTGGGCGTTTCACTTTTCCCACCCACATTTTGATGATGTTGGTCCGGGGAGTCGAACTGGCGACCTTCCAATCACAGGCCCACCTTCGCTAACCTCTGTGCCACCGCTCTCAAACAAAACAGAGTTTTTAAAAAAAATCCACGTTTGGGGTCTCTGTATGGAATTACAAATGCTTTCAGAAAACATGACCTTATTTGCGCATGTATTCTGGAACATGGCTGCACCCTGGAAAACAAAACTAAATGTTTTTCCCCAACATTTGTCTCACTTTGTTCTGATCCGCTCACCACTAAACTCTAACCATGAGCCGAGGTGATTCACATCTGAGAGGAAACTGGACATTGTTTTACAGAATAAAACATTTAGCCAATTTAAGCACGCTAGCATGTTTAAGTAGAACATCTGCATGTGGCGCCGATTACTGCAATTTCACATCTTTATGGCTTAAAAAGAATTAAAAAAAAAACTTTAAAAAAAAAACTTGCAAAGTCTCTCCTTGTTAAAAAGATAAACAAAACAGCTGCATTGATTGTGTGTGTGTGTGTGTGTGTGTGTGTGTGTGTGTGCATAAGAGAGTGAATGACCCAGAGAGCAGCAGGCTGTGGAGAGTTCAGGCTGGTGTTTCTCTCTCATCCACACTCCTCCTGTTATGCACCTGCTGCTTTAGTTATTAGAATTTTTAGATCCCAGCAGGGAACTAAACTGGTTTTGATGCGAGTACTGGTTGCACAAATGTACGCCACAGCTGTGCTTGCACTTTGCTCTTGCCAAACCCGTTTTGAACAGAGAAGCTTCAGAGTGTTGTGCAAACTTTTCCACTTTTGGCTCAAAAGCTGCTTCAGAATGTTTGAACAAAGGCAAAAATAGAAACGGAGAACAAACATCTGTTTAAAACATCTGTAGTAGTGTAGCCAGGGATGTAGTAAATTATACTTTTAAAAAAAATTGGGTGTGAAAATACCTGGAATTCCTGTTCTAGTTTTTTCCCTATCCAGTCAGTAACGTGAGCCAGAGTGACTTCTCTTTCTCCAAGTTTAGGCCGAGCCTTTAACTCCAGGTGAGGTGGAGTCCTAAAGCCGTACCTGCAATATAAAACAATTTATTTTAAATTCAGTCAAGTTTATTTTTATACCTCCAAGTCCCAACAGAAGTCGTCTCAGGGTACTGTACAAACGCATTCACATACATTAAAATAAACGGCAGTTAGTAAAAGTTCTCTAAGGAAGCAGCAGATTGTGTTGAATCTAGACTTCATTGCAGTCACCCATCCTGATAAAGCAGAAAGGAGACAGTGGAAAGGAAAAACTCCCTTTTAAACAGGTCTACTTCAACCAGCCGGGTTTGAGAGGACAGGAAGTAGAAACAAACACAGAACATATTAATTACAAAAACACCTGCAGATATCTATAAAATAAGCACCTTCCAACATGAAGAGTCACCAGCAGGGGGCACTGCTGCGCTCTAAAGAACATGTTTGATTTTTTTCAGTAGATCGGCTGAGCTGTGGGTTTCGTTGCTCCGAGAACTTTCTTCGTTCAAAGTGAATTATTTCTCAGAAATAAACGTATGCGACTGACTGCTGGTTGAAAAACGAGGAAATTAAGAGTAATCGCAGACTTTTCTCGATTGTTTCCTGAGGAAAATGTGACCGTCGTTTTCAGCCTCAAGAAGACAAAGCTTCCTTCACGTACCATATTCTGTCAGTGGGAGGAGGAGGAATGTTGACCGCCAGCCTTCCTCGGAGCTGCTGGAGCTCCACGGAGAGCAGCAAGGGGGTGTTGGACACCTCCTCCATCTTCTTTTTGATAAACTCCGTCTCTGTGGCCTTCTGGAAGTATTTGGACTTGGCAATCTTGTCCACAAAACGCATGATCTTGCTCGGTTTGTGTCCCCCCACCAAACTGTAGCCATTAAAAGAACGTTCAGAGTTAAACTAAACGACTTGATGCTTTTTAAACATTAAGTCAACTACATCTGATGCTTAGATTGCTATATTCTACAAAGTTGGTGTTGCGAAAACAATCACCCCTCTGCTCCAGGTAAATCATTGGAGACATCCGACGTGTCCTCTTCGTCTGACGAGCCGGCACTGGATGACTCTTCATCGCTGGCAGCCAGGCAGTAAGTCCGAGGCCTGTACCTGGAAACACAAACACGGTCTTTACGTTTACTCGCTGCAGAAACACGACTGGTTTTAAAGTTTTAGGTGTGAACTCGTTTCGTTATAAAAAGCTCAGATGAACAGTTTCACTTCCTAAACCGACGACCTTCCTCGACCTGAGCTGAACCTGCTGCAAGGTTTGCACACGTTTTCATTTTGAAATCCCAAATCTCGTCAGACTCTACGCTTTAGCCGATTTCTGAGTAACTCGTCTAGAAGTTTACTTTTAGTTTATTTTTGGAAACAAAACAAAAAGAAATCAAGTCTGGAAACAAATTATTTTTCATACAGTTTTCTTTTGTTCATACTTTAAAAGAACTCTCAGTTTAATGTATTTTCAGGCCTATAAGTTGCAATTTTTTTGCATAATTGGCATGCCCTGTGACTTATACACCAAAACGACTTATTGATGGATTTTTTCCCATATTTATAAACCAATTTTTGGCTGAGATATGACTGAGGCAGCAAATATTTTTGAAATACAACTGATTTGACCGTTAAAGTGCATTTATTAAGGAAAAATTCAACTGAGGAACACCTATACTATAATTTCAATCAAACAATTGTTTTAAAGTTTTAATCTTGTTAAATTCTTGTTAAAGTCCTGCCGTGCGCGCTCCCACGGCCGCCAATTGATTTTTGGCACAACACTGGCCCACATTTCCAGGTTGTCACAGGTGACGCATAATGGATGCGACGTATACGGCGAAGTTACGCATTTGTTTTTTCCAAATTATTAGACATTTTTTGACAGATGCCACTTTTACTCCGGTGCGACTTATAAGCCGGAAAATACGGTAATTTGTTTGTCACGGAGCCGTTTCTCTACTAAATACAATAAACCCTGCGTTTGACCGAGTGTGTAAAGTATTTGCCCGTGCAAGTCGTGCTCGTCTGTATTTCAGAGAAATATGCTGTCAGATAAACATGATCAGACCAAGAAATGAATAATTAATAGATGAAGCATTAATCCCAACTAGACTGGAAGTCATTCAGCACTCACCGAGGCAGGAAACATCCGATTAACAGCCGCATTAAGGTAGGACCCAGAGAGGAGGAGGAGCAGGAGGAAGGAGGTGAAAAAGCACAGTGTGAGACGGGTGAGGGCCGGACACCAGACAGAAATAAGCACCGATTTCCCAGGGTGAGTAAGAAACGGCATTAAACCCAGTCAACCGTGTCCTGAAAAGGTTCGGCGGATCATCTTACCCGTCTTTGCCAAACTCCCCTATGCGGAGGTTCTCTCCCTCCTTCCCCAGGCGGTGAAGGATCATCTTGGTTTCCAGAGTCATCAGGAAGGAGCCGCTGTAGGAGACCTCCAAGTCGAACCACAGACCTGATGAACGCACAGGAAACAAAAAGGTTGAATGTTTGAAGGATGTGAAACAAATTCACAGAAAAACTTCCCAACCAACAGACTTTTCTTTATATAGAAACAAAAGATTGAAAAATCCTTCTGGTTTCATCCTGTTGACCGGTTTTCACACAAACCAAGAACACTTAAAGTCAAAACTGTCACTTTTTCCTTTATTTCCCTCCTTCGTCTGCCTCAAGTGACATTTTATTCCTGTGAAACCCACTTTTTGGTGTAATTTATGCAATTTCTTTTGTTCCTCTCTTTTTTTAACACAACTGTTTTTGTTGGGAGTTTGATTCAATTACTTCTATTCAAAGCCTCTATTGGTTGCCGACATGGATATGAATTATTTTTGAAATTTGATGATTTACTGTAGATGTAGTTTCCCTTTACACCACTTGAGGGCAGCAACAGCTGATGGACATAAACTTAAGACGCGTGTAAACATCCATCCAGAGACAAAGAGATGATCGTCCACACCCCGACTGGCTGGATCAACTTCTAGAACCTGGCGACCGAGACTGGAAACGCTAAATGATGGAATAATGACGTCAAAGTGTGGAGAGGAAGAGGAAAGAAGTCAGAAATAAAGAGCGAGTCAAAGAGAAACAGGAAGAAGAGAGAAAATCAAAGTGTGATCTACATAAACGGGCACAGAAAGGAGAGAGTAAGATGTAAAAATAGAGAAGAGGCAGAACAAACTGGGTCTGCTCGTTGGGTCTTTTTATCTCACGGCTTTGAAAATGTCTGAGCTCAGCCTGACGGGACAGGAAGGGATCGTTCAGGTTGATTAGGTTCAACGTTCTTCGCTGTCATTCACATCACATGTGGTACATGAGGTGGGATGAAATCATGCACTCAAGCAAATAACATAATGGCAAAAAATATAAAGTATAAAAAGAAACGGTTTACAAGGATCTAAGACAGGGTTATTCAACAAAACTGCTCAGGGGGCCACAGGTTCTGAAAGCCAGCAGCTCAGGGGCCGAACATCCAGCGATTACAGTCGTTACGTAAATAAACCAGATTTTACAACGATCTGTTGCCTTTTAAATTTATTTTATTGCATTGAATCATAAACACTATAAACAGAACCCAAGTTGACCCAGACGAATAGCCCTGATCTAAGATATACTGTACTTAACACTAATAATGTAAAATAATACAGTATTAGGTTTTAGATTCACTGTGACAAACCAGAACTTATCGATTTATATCCAATGATTACTTTCGGAGTTTCCCTCAAATTCCTTCAGTGGTTAATCAAACAGATTTTGTGTTCCCCAAAGTTAGCTGTGGTGGCCATCTTGAATCAGGTCAACTCCATCCATCCATCCATCCATCCATCCATCCATCCATCATCTTTACCCGCTTCTTCTTTTTCAGGTTGCGGGGGTCACTGGTGCCCATATCCAGCAGCAGCGTTTCTAGTGGCACGCAATACAGGCACACTAGCTAAAAAAGCTAAAGCAGAGCTCATGCTGCCTCTTCCATCATGCTACACCACCACCCCCCACGCTCGAAAGCTGTTGGTGCAAACGGCGCACAGCTCAGATGTGAAGACTTTTTCAATCTAAGCAACAGAAGGATCATTTTTATTTTTAGACTTGGAGACTGAATACTTTACTAAATAAAGTCATTTCAGTAAAATTAACCCTTGTTGTTTTTTAGTTTGTATATAATACTGCAAAGAAACACGTTAAGTTAATTTTGTCAAATGAATAACTATGATTTCTGTTTTTTTATTGTTTTTTGTTATATCACGAAATTTATCGTTATCGACAGAATGCTCTGAAATATCACGATATTATATTTGAGCCATATCGCCCACCCATAGTCTCCAGTTAGGGACACCTGGACAGGTCTCCAGTCCACCACAGGGACACAGAGACCAATGAGACAAACATTCTCTCTCACCTAGGGACAATAGAGCTACCAATCAGTCTAACATGCATGTTTTTGTCTGTGGGAGGAAATTGGAGTATCTGGAGAAAACCCACATATGCACAGAGAGAACATGCAAACTACAAATTCGTTAAACTCAGTGGTCGATGAGCTGTTTTGGTAACAGACAAATAAACACAGACATCAGATACATCTGCACTGAAGGCTCAGAACGACGACCTCAATAAAACTGGGCTCCATGAACACTGATTGAAGAGGCACTCGAGGTGTCTGGCTCGGTAATGTTCCAGAAAAAGAAAGAAATAATTGCCGTCTCAGCTGGTTGAACACTCCGTTCCTGCTCTCATTAGAAGGGTTACGTGAGAGCTGCAGCGACTCAGAGCACAGAGGAAGAGAGAAAGTACGAGCACAAAGAGGAAGATGACACAAGAGGAAATCTGAAAGGAGAGAGCAGCAGACATGAACAGGACAGAAAACAGAACATACAGATGATAAAAGGAATGATCAAACATCTTGAGACCGGAGCAGAGACGTGTTGACTCAGGTCTTAATTAGTCCAAGAAGGCAAAAATACACCGTAGTCATTAAACTTAGACACATTTAGTAGAATCTTCTTAAACCGGTTTAGTTGAACTGAGCTAGAACTCGTTTAGATGGTGCTCAAAATAAAGCTTTGAGCACCATCATCCCAGTAGATCTCTGCAACTTGCACTTCACTTAATAAGTAATTACAAATATTTGTAGATACATTGGTGAATCTAAACAGCCACTGGCCAAAAGGATGGTCCAGCACAGAAGAGCAACATCTTCAGGCCAGGACTCTGAGGTCTACACTCATCTCCAGGCCAGAGGTCACTTGTTCAGGGATGAAGATGTTCACATCCTGGACACAGAGAGGGACGATGAGAGGAGTGAAGGAAGACATCTTTGTGAAAAGAACCCATCCATCATTAAACAGGGGCGGAGCCTCCATGTCCAACTGTCCTTCTCTTACAATGCTGTTATTGCTAGAATCACTCAGCTCTGTGAATAGCAAGCGGCCATCAGGGCACTAATGGTTGGTCGTTAGGCTGATGGTCCTCCTTTGGCATGTATCTGGCTGTCAACAACAAAACTGGTTGATCCACGATGAGAATGTGCCATTTATTTATTTAAGGAAGACTGCGTTTGCTGCAGCTCCTCAGACTGAAGAAGTCTTTTGGATAAAAGGCCAAACGTTTCAACAAGAAGAATCCATCCAGAGGACCTGACTCGACTTTGTTAGATTTTCTTTTATAGCGCCTCCATGCTTCACCGCCTCTAACTTTATGATTAACAGTAAAACAACAGAGCATTGTTATTGTCAGACAGCAACAATCTGGGACCATAAAATATTTGTGCTTTATATAAATAAGCGTGATTGACCTTACTGTCTGATGAGCTCAGCGGTAAATCTGTTTTTTGATGCGTTACAAACATGATTTTGCCTGTTTTTAATGAAAAGCAGCTTTTAATGTCTATAATGACATCTTGCTTGTGTTGGGTGTTATCAATAGTTTTTTTTAAATGTGTATACACTTTATTCACAAGTATACAAACGTGTGCAGTTGTTCAAAGTTACCTGTTCTCTTTAAATGAGCTGTCACTAATGTCATGGTTTTGTGGATTGAGAGAACAGCCTAAATATTATTTCCATTACTGCGTATGCGTACTGCAACAAACACTTGAAAGTTTTTACATATACCTTTAATCTAACCAAGACTAAAGAAAAATAAGCAGATTTTAAAAAATGCACCAATCTAATATGTTTTAACTTTATAATTATAAGCAGATCAATTTGCTCAATGTTCAGAGCAGCCAGAAATCATGGCTTACTTTCAAGCTTAGTGCACCTCAAGGTGCATCTCACAAGGGTGTGACTGTTGAAAACTCGTTGGCGATAGGCCTGTCACGATAAATAATAAATCAATTAATCGCATGATAAATGAAAATTATCGACCTCATTTTCATTTATCAGCTTTATCATTTCTTTGTGTCTCTCTCTTTCTACTGAAGACACTGGATGACAAAAGGCTCAACTCCAGTGACCTTCACTGACCCCTCCCTTTCTCTTTAAAATCTGTTTTAATCGTCCAAAATCGCGTTTTTGTATCGTTAAAAGCAGCTAAGCTACGAGATAAGCTAACAGGCCGACCTCTGGAAAAAAACTCCGCCTTGTAGCTCCAAAATTCACAGTTGAAACCCGTGCCTTTGTCTAAAAAGTTGTTTTTCTCTGCAAAAAGAAGCTGAGAACTTGTTTACTGATTTTTTTTTAATTAAAAGCTTTGTGTGACAAATACTATGCTAAAGAGCTCAAACCACACCGAGCGTCTGCCATTTTGAGAACTGAACAGGAAGGAGAGACAGCCCATGTCACGTCAAGTGGCCTCCCTCGCATTTTTCTTAAAGAGACACGCTGCTCGCTCCCTCACTATCCATCCTTCGGTTCAAACAGTCTTCTACTGCCATCCAGTGGTCAAAAAAACGTACTACCCACAATAATTAAACAACATTTTTTCTTAAATTTGACAATACTAATTATTGTCAAATTTCAGACAATATTATCGTTTATCGCAATAATTTCTGAGACAATTAATCGCCCAGCAACATTTGTTATCGTGACAGGCCTATTTGGCGACTCTAAACTGTGAGGAAACTTTAATTCAACCTTTATTTATACAGGTAAATCCCATTGAGCCCCGAGGACTCATTTACAAGAGAGACCTGGTTTCAACAAAGAATGATGACAACAATGGACAACAGCGACAACAATAAACAGTTATAAAAAGGCATATAGATTTTTTTTTTTTTTACAAATAAGATGGCAAAAAAAGTAACAAAAACAGCTAGATTCTAAGGTGTTGTTAAATAACAGGTTAATTTTCAGGTGCAGTCTCACTGAGCTCGAGTGTCTGCGACCAGATAATCAGCGAGTCACGTGGCCACATTTTGAGCGTCTAGTTGAAAATCACTTCCTGTTTTTGTGTGCACGGCTTGCCAAACTGTATTCTAGACTGTGCACGTAATCGTCATCCTCCACCTGCATCGTCTTCGCGTCGGCACGCTTTTCTCCTACTGCGTCAGCTGCCACCATGTTTAGGATTTAATATACCGTATTTTTCAGATTATAAAAGGTGCATTAAGCGAAACGAGTTCATTTTTGACAGATTTTTTGAGCGCCATGTACCACATAAAATCAGTTCGAGGTCAGTTAGCACAACCAGAATTCATACATAAGGTGCACCGGATTATAAAGCTCACTGGCAATATTTGACAAAATTAAGAGGTTTTAAGTGCGCCTTATAGTCTGAAAAATACAGTACTGTAGTACTCTGTAAATAAGAATACTTGGACCAGTTTTTAATAATTATTGGTTTTAGACTTGGACATGTTTTCTGTCGGAGAACTCCCGCGCAGATGTTTAAATACAGCTGTGGCTCTAATGGAGGACGTTTCAGACAAAATTAAGACAAGTAGAGACAACTGAAACAATTCAGCATGCCTTATGGAGATTTCCGTGCTGTCGTTATTCATCTAATTTATTTTCCGAGTCTTTGTTGCCTCAAGTGTTTTAAACTCTAAACTCGTTGCTAATTTTGGGGTACAACATCATCTGAGGAAGCCTGCCGGTTCCGTTACCCGACTAATAAATGACTCGCATTACAAGATGTTTCAGTGCCTTCTCTGATGTGGATGGACTGTTGTGCTCAGAAACTTGAAACGTGTGGTTAAACACAGATCAGCCACCGTGCGTCTGTTTCTTATTGTTTTAGATCATTCCTCTCTTGCCTTGATGGTCGATGTAAGGTGCAGACGCCCCAAGGATCCGGGGGATGGCTGAGCCCATGTCCAGTTCTGTCAGGGTTAATTCATTCATGAAGTAAGGCAGCTGAAAAAGACAAGCACATTAATTAACTGAGGAAACATCATTTAATATTTATAATTTATAATCCAGTTTTAGCTTCTCTCCATTGGCTCCCTGTCAAGTCCAGAATTGAATTCAAAATCTTACTTTTAACCTACAAAGCTCTCAACAACCTAGCTCCATCTTATATTACAGATCTTATTGTTGCATATTTTCCTTAACAGAGCACTTCACTCTCAGACTGCAGGCTTACTTGTGGTTCCTAGAGTTTCCAAAAGCCGAATGGGAGGAAGATCTTTCAGTTATCAGACTCCTCTCTTCTGGAACCAACTTCCAGTTTCTGTCCGTGACACATTGTCCACTTTTAAGACTGGGCTTAAGTCTTTCCTTTGTGATAAATCCTATAGTTAGGGTGGGCTTGTTATGCTGCTATAGGCTTAGACTACTAGAAGACAAACTGACCTTGTTTCCTTAAATGAATTGCTAAAATTGAATAGTTTTCATTTGATATTATTTCTATCTTTACATGTGATTCTTGACCTGCCATTGTGTATCTATTACTACCAAACCCAGCCGGTCTAAGCAGATGGCCGGTTGTCCTGAGCCTGGTTCTGCTAAAGGTTTCTTCCTCGTGAGGGAGTTTTTCCTTTCCACTGTCGCCTTCATGCTCGCTCAAGATGAGAGTTCTGTGATGGAGTTAAACTCAAAGCTGCTCCTCAGATAAATTGTGTTAATTTTTTTTTTACATATGAATATTTCTGTTCAGTGCCCTGAGACGACTTCTGTTGAGACATGGCGCTAAATAAAGAAACTGAATTGAGTTACACTTGCGAAGGAGCAACAGATTGGTCAAACGTACTACTAACAACAAGAAGAACGAGGGTACTGCATACGTTATACACCCGTCAAACTATTACACAGCAATCGGTAGCAATGGCAAAGACCATGTTAAAACGTTGACCTTGATTTGTGACCTTGACCTTAGAGCTGGGAGGTGTATGACGTTTTGTTAAATTATCTGGAGTGTATCAGAAGTTGTGGCGCTGACGAGCAAGAAACTTGTTTTACATTTGACCTCGTTTTGCGACCTTGACCTTGAAGCCGAGGATAAGAAAAGATTGAGACACGTCGTGTAGCAGTGGTACATATTTTTGTTAAATTATTGGGTGGGACAAGCAAAGACCTCGTTTTAACTTTGACCTTTATTTGTGACCCTGACCTTGGAGCTATGGTTGCATGATGCTCTGCGGGTGAGGATAAATAATAACAATAATAATAACAATATGTCCACCTTTCAAGGAGACTATATAAATATGCAAATGTCTCCATAAAGACAGTAAAGACACAGATGGATGAAGCCTTATGGCGTAAACCAGGACTACTCAACTAAACTGATCAGGGGGCCACAGTTACTGAAAGCAAAGAGCTCAGGGACCAGACATCCAGCAGTTATTCTCATGAATTAAGTTTGTTTTAGGGTTTAAAAACTAGTTTTATTTAAAAATGAACCCACTGGTGGGCCGAACTGAGCTCACGTGTGGGCCTTATTTGGCCCCCGGGCCACCAGTTGAACAACCCTGGTGTAAAATGTGTGTGTGTCTCGAAAGGACAGAACAAATCTTTATTTTCCAGTGTTTTAAACTGTAACTTTAATAAATCAAAATGTATCACGTCACATAATGAGTTATAAATTATTATCTATGAGACACAGGATCGGATATGAATGGTGAAAACTTTTAAATTGTTCATTTAAATTTGGAGCAGAGGAATTTTAGAGGTTTTCTTTCCTGCTTGGTTGAATCCAAAGAATCTCCTGTTTGGAAGAAAAAGAAAACTTGTTACGAGTCTTGGTGCACTCACTCGAATCTTGCTGAGCTTCATCTGGATCTTCTTTGAAATCACTTCGGCCCAGTAGGGCTCGGTCAGAAAGTCCCAGAAGAGCCGACCGAGGGCTGCGTTCACCCAGGCAACAGAATCCTCCTCTTCCTCCTCTCCCTGGGGCTGCACCTGAGCGGAAGAGGTCCCCTGAAACTAAAGTAACACCAGAAGAAAAACAACTTGAAGCCTTTGACTCTATAAAACATTTAGTCTGCAGCGTCTGAATCAACTCCTCCAACTACAACCACAGCTCTGACGGAGATGGAAGTTTGTGTTTTTTCTTCTTCTTTCGGCTGCTCCCTTCTTCAGGGGTCGCCACAGCAAAACAACTCGCACGAAGAATTGGCAGTTGATTTTACGCCGGATGTCCTTCCTGACGCAACTACAGACCACCGAGCTACCACAGCCCTCTGTGTGGAGCAGAGCTGCCATTTGGGGTGCCCGAGGGAGCAGATGGTGGGGGTTAAGGGCCTTGTTCAAGGGTCCAGAGTGGGACAAATGAGGGTAGACAAGTGTGGGTGCTTACCCACATTTTGATGTCAGTTTGGGGAATTGAACCAGCGACCTTCGATTACAGGTTTTCCTTCCCTAACCTAGTCTGCGCCACCGCTCCCCTGGTTTGTGTAAAACGTAAATAAAAACAGAATGCAGTGATTCACAGATCTCATAATCCTGTACAGTAGTCCCTCGCTACTTCAGTGTTCGTTTATCGCAGACTCGCTCTGTCGCGGTTTTTCAAAATAAGATTGGACATGACGAACAATTTGCTGACTGACGGATGAGCCGCATGATCGGCATGAGATTTTTATTTAAAATAAATTATTTTAAATTATTTAGCACCTGCTGCACCTTTGTGCAGCCCACACTGCAGGATAAACTTCCTGCTGCAGCTGTTCTCCGTGCAGAGCACAGAAGTGGGCGTGGCCAAAAGTGCTTGCATGTGGCTGAGAGCAGAGGAGGCAGAGAGCTGAAATCATGACAATCTGTGCTCTTTTAGAGCATTGAGAGTTTAGAAACATTGTTTAGAATATTGCAAGAATGTGGGAAGGGTTTAAAACGCCTTCGCGGTTTTTCACTTATCGCGGGACTTCAGGGTACGGATCCCCCTCGATAAACGAGAGACAACTGTATTTCATTTCAATGGACGGACAAAATGTTTGGCTTTTAGCTAATCATTTGATACTTCCAGCTTTCAGGTAGCCTTTTTCTACATTTGGCTTTAAGCTCTTGTTTTGTTGATTTTAGCAAGCATCTTGTGACTTAACTTTGAGCTAAGCCTTTGCAACTTTTGGCCTATAGCTAACACTTTTGACATCTTGACTTCTAGCCATGTTTTTCTCCTTTTAGCTAGTCTTTTGCTTCTTACAGCTTCTATCCAGGTTTTTGCTACTTAAGCTTTTAGCAACTTTGCTGTTATTGAACACATCAAATGTCGAAACTGAAGAACGGGATCATTTTGTGGGTAATAAATAAAACAAAACAATGTTCATTGTGAAAAAAAATGTGGCTCGTTACATACAGATACCGTTTTTGTTTCCTTAAAGCACAATGTCCCAACCTTTGGGATATATGTCGTCCATATTGACAAGGAAAAACCCAGAAATTCACTGTGCGCATTCACATTTCCTCTGACACAATATGGGCGTTACAACCAGCAAATGAGACCGCAAGTTAATGCATTAAAAAGGAGACTGAAAAAGGAAAACATGTTATTAGTATAAAACGGATAATGAGTATGCGCTACCTTCTTATCAGCCCCGGGGCTGCTCTGCAGACTGGAAGCGGCGCTGGCAGCTGTGGGGCAGACTGCCGCCTGCTTTGGCAGAAAGGATCCCATGTAGACAGCGTAGTCTAACGGAGGTTTGCTTTTGGCACTGCCTGCTGCTGACGACGGGGGCGCAGAGTCCTTTGACTTCATCTGAGATGCCAGCATCTCATTGAGGCTGCTGCGGCTGCTGCTGCGGCTGTGAGAGATTGAGGCTGCGGAGAGGCAGAATATTAAAAACACAAAACATTTCCTGTTCACTACAACTTTGCATCACTTTTATTAAGTAAAACTGGTCTATAAAATGATAATCCAAACAAGTGTTGAAGACTTTCTTACTCTTTTTACTGCTCCCAACACAGGAGGCTTTCTTTAACTCAACTCTGGCATTAGAGGCCGACAAGAACCTCTGGAACCATTCCTCTTTGTCCCTCCCAGTCCTCCCAAACAGGTACAGGGTCAGGCACCTTCTGGCAGACGACGGGGATTGTTGCTCCTGTGCTCCGTTGTCTCTTGAACTTGTGGCCTGATTGCCCCCCACCCCCTCCGCCTTTGACATGAAGTCGTCTTGTTTGGCAAGTTCGATGCAGATGGGGTATTTTTTGTTCCATACTCGCTTCCTGGCCAGATTCTGAGGCACTAAATACACCTGAGAGACGGAGAAAAACGAGAAAAAGGACTCGTTTGAATCTCTTTTAAACCTCCCTTCCCTTTTTTTTTAACTGGTGTACGTAATTATCACAAAATGAGCAGTTCATTTCTAGCTTGATGTTTAGCTGTGACATTTAAAAGTGAATCAGTCAAATAAAAGTTAAAGAACAACTTCCAATAAAACCTTCAGAGCTACACAGATGTATGATTCTCTCGTGTGCATTACGACAGCAACATAAAACGCACGTTACTGTTGGTAAGGTCATAGATCTTCTGGCTGACGTAGGTCACGTCAGGTTTTTGCTCCTTGTGCGTTGCGCGGCGAGCGACGTTGCGGTTGGGTTTGGACAAACGGATGATGGGGCCCTCCAAGCGGACGTACACGGAGTGCGTCAGCGTCGCGTGGTACGTCTCGGGGTCGTAGTTCAAAATCTCGTTCATCCAGCCCTGGAAGGAAGACAAACAAGTTGCAGATTAATTTAATCTGCACTAATCTGGTGTTTGAACGTGCACTTCTTAATATTAATTTACAGATTTTTTTTTTAAACAGTTAAAATATTTAGAATAGCCACTCGTTAGCGTTTAAAACAGGACTTCACACTGTGTTGTTTTTATGATGCTGATAAAAGTTTATCATTTTCTTTCTGCTTTCAAGTTCAAGTTAAACTTCATGAGTCGCTCTGATTATTGCACCCTGTCTTAAATATAAAAAATATGACCTCCGTTTAGTTATACACAGTCTGATGGGTATCTGTAACAAGAGAGGCAGAGCTGTCCGTTATCAGGCTCCTCTTGTGGGACCAACTTCCAGTTTCAGTCTGTGAGGCTGACACTGTTGACTCAAGGCTAGGATTAAGACTTTCCTTTATTAATCCTATAGTTACGGTTGGCTTGGGTTTCCTAAGTTATCCCCTAGTTCTTCTCTTATAAAGTACGCCTGTCACGATAACAAATTTTGCTGCGCGATTAATTGCCTCAGAAATTATTGCAATAAACGATAATATTGTTTGAAATTTGACAACAATTAGTAATTATTGTAAAATTTAAGAAGAAATGTTGGTAATTTGTTTTGTATGTAGTACCTTTTGTCGACCACCGGATGGCAGTATAAGACCGTTTGAACCGAAGGATTGATAGTGAGGGAGTTAGCAGCGTGTCTCTAAGAAAAATGAGAGGGAGGCCCCTTGACGTGACATGGGCTGTCTCTCTTCGGTTCTCAAAATGGCGGACGCTCGGTGTGATTTGAGCTCTTTAGCGTAGCATTGTTCACACAAAGCTTTAAAAAATATATATATATTAAAAACTCCGTAAACAAGTTCTCAGCTTCTTTTTCCAGAGAAAAACTTTTTACACGAAGGCACGGGTTTCAACCGTGAATTTTGGAGCTTCGACAAGACGGAGTTTTTTTTCTCCTGAGGTCAGCCTGTTAGCTTAGCTCGTAGCTTAGCTCCTCAGTTTAGCTGCTTTTAACGATCCAACAATGTGATTTTAGATGGTTAAAATGGATTTTAAAGCGAAAAGAGAAAGGGAGGGGTCAGTGAAGAGCACAGGAGTTGACCCTTTTGTCATCCAATGTCAAACACTAGAAAGAAAGAGACACAAAGAAACGATAAAGCCGATAAATGAAAATGAAGTCGATAATTTTCATTTATCATGCGATTAATTGATTTATTGTTTATCGCGACAGGCCTACTTATAGGTGTAAAATGCTGGAGAACAAACTGACCATATCTCTTCACCCTGCTGCTGGCTTTATTCGCTTTATTTTCCATGTTTGTATTTGCAATCGTTTCTATTAATAGCATGTTTTTCTTCATGATTCTCCACACAGGAAGTACACCTGGACCATAGATTTAGAAACACCTGGACTAGCCGTTTTGACTTTGTGACGAAGTGGAAACACAATCTGCTGGCTTCCTTAGAAAACCGTTACTAACTGCCGTTTTATAATGTGTGTGAATGTTTTTGTCCTGAGACAACATTTGTTGTGAATTGGTGCTATATAAAATTAATTTAATGCTTTAAAACCATTTCAGTAGTAAAGCAGTTGTTTTGGTCAACATAAAGTGAAGAGCTCAAATAACTTATAGAAGCTAATTTCTCACATTTGTAAAAAAAACAATTTCGCTAATCTGGATAACATCTTCATCTCGTCACTCATTTTGGTGTTCCTTGAAAATTACCCATTACTGTATCTGCAAATAAAGATGCACAAAATTCCCCATTACTGTATCTGCAAATAAAGATGCACAAAATTCAGCACAAGTTGTACTGTTTTTAGAGCAGATACTGAATAAACGGACTTTTTAAAATTTCTTTGCTGTTTTCACTCGGACACAGAAGATTCTTGCAAATCAAATGATAAACACTCCTTGGAGCCAAACCACCGACATTTCGTCACCTGTTGTTCCATTTATTACTGTCAGGAGCAGATCTACTGTTTCAGACAATACGTCAAAATGGTTTTCTTACTCTAATGCAAATTTATCTGCCATAAATATACAAATGTGGAGGAGAAGTACAAGTAAAATCAACCTTATGACCTCAGCTCTCTGGTAATTTAGTGCATACTGTATTTTAGACAAACGCACAAGGATGTGCGCTCAGAATATTTAATTTGTGTAATCCAGGTTCAATCTAAAAATTAAACGTATTCAGTCATTGCTGTTAAACTCTCCAAAAATGCTGATTTGTTTCGTTTACAAAAAAACCCCAAAAAACACTATTGCGTTATAAAATGAAATAAACTTAAAAGGAGGAAAAGACGAACAAACCTTGTAGATTTCTGGCTCTTTAATATCCAGCTTGGTCATATTCCACAGCTTCCCCCGGTTTCTGGAATGTCCGACTTCATCTCCAGAGCGCTTTGGTCCCGTCAGCCACATGACGCCGATGGCTACAAAGAATCCTAGCCAGACTCCAAGCAGCAGCCCTCCAATGTACGTGGGCAAAGGTAAAACAAAGAACCCATAGACGAGGAAGGTAAAGACTATGAGAGAATAGTACGGGACATCGGGTGCTGGCTTAGTGTCTTCACATTCATCGTCACAGTTTGGGTCAGAACCATCACTTGGCAGCAGTTGACTCCCGGTTTGAGTAATTCCATCTGACCCCTCGGTGTCAGTACAAGTCTCAAAGTCTTCACTGTTCAGGATGCAGAAGTCCTCGTCCTCCTGTTTCGCAAGAGCAGACATGGACAGTGAGGAGGATTTGGTCGGGCTCTTAGTGTTGGCAGAGGGGTCGTTAGGTGACTCAGGTGTAACAGAGGTCCAGCTGTTGGGGCTTTCGGCCTCTGCGTCACCTTCTTCCTCTTTGATACAGTAATTGTTGTTGCTCTCCAGGTGGTCATTGATTGAGGCGATGGTGGAGAGTTCTGTGGCGCTGGCAGAAAGCACTTTGGGCCGGTAAATACTGCCGACACTTAATCCTCCACTCTTCTCATCCATGATCTTACTCAGCAACTGGAGTGGCTCAGAAATGGCCTCGGTGAGACGGCGTCTGGTGTCTTCAAATCGCGCTTCAACCTCAGAGACTTTGAAGAAGCTCCGGTTGTCTGGTGAAGTTAACGGCGAACACGGGGCAGTTTTAGAATCGCTTGCTGATGTCACGGCAGCAGACGGCAGCCTGGATTGTGCAAATTGCTTAAAGAGTTGCAGGTTAAGGCGAGGTTCGGGAAGACGGGAAGATATAGAGGAGGGGGGTGGATCCTGGGATGTATCTGATGATAACGATTTGACAAGGTTTTTCATGAGAGGTCTGTGTCTTACAGAAGGAGCTGGAGCAGAAGAGATGCCATCACGAGACTCGACGTCAGAAGAACAGGACTTTACCATACTTAAAAACGATTTGTCACCGGAGGGAAAGCTCAAAGATTTTATGGGAGAAGAACCGACAGTCAAGGGTTTATGCTCGGGGACACGTGAAGATAGAGTATGTGGTGGGGAATGGTTAGTGTGATTTCCAGAACTGGGAGAAAATCCGGATGATTCAGGAATCTCAGCAACCTCAGCTGCAGAGTCCAGAGGACCCCCTTCAAACATGTCCTCACTCGCTTCTACAGCTGTCACAACGTTTGAATCTTTCAGAGCGGCTGAGCAAGTGGGGACTGACGCAGTGTACAGCTCAAGCTCCTCTTCCTCCTCCTCCTCTTTCTCTTTCCCGAATGAGAAGTGGATGGTAATGTTCTCCTTTGACCGTGATGGCTGGACATGGAGCCTGGGGCCCCCAGCGGGCGGCTGTTTATCCGTGAACTTAGAGCTTTCTGCATGGCTCGGCTGCTGGCTGGTCATTTCAGAGGTCCTACTGAGTCAGTCTGCGAAGAGCAAACAGATTAGAGACCAAACAGTTAATTAATAAATACATTGTTGTTTGAAGGACGACATAACTGAGGTTGAGGTTTGAAGATGAGCTGCCTGCACTGTCTTTGCATCTTATGCCCAAATCAAACCGATGTGACCGAGACACCTTTGTGTGCATGCATTGAGTCCCACGATACCCACAAGGTCCTAGCAGGTGTTTCTCCACTAAATTTTCCAGGTTTAGTTCATTAGAAATAACAGTACATGATGAGACATCAGCCATCACCAAGATAATGAACAAAAACTGGAAAAAATTACATTTTTCTTCAAATCAAACGGGTTGTATTATAAATCAAAACAGAGTACTGTACACTTAAACAAATTAGGATACTATTTTTATGTTAATCCATGGTAAAAAATGTTTTTGTAATCATAAATTCATTGTGTTAGTATGAAATAATTCCAAGAAACAAAACTTTACAAAATGTTAAAACATTGTTGATACACTTGACTGTAAAATTACCATATTCTAGCTTTAAGTATATAGTACATGTGCATTAATATTAGTTTTAAATCTTCAGCAGAATGCAAAACAAGAAAAATATTTGCTGCTAGCTGCTTTCTTTCTCACTTTGCTGCATAGCTTATCATTAAGAGCCAAACATCTTAAATCCAGGACCTTTATATACACACAGGTTGGTCTCATTGAGTCACGAGGATTTATTTTCAAGAGAGACCTGTATACTCCAATAGTTTCTATAGGAATAATAATGAAAAAGAATATTGACAATTGTCAAAATGATGGCAAAAGATCTGGCAACGAAACACGATTAAACATTTTAGGCCTTTTGTTAATCTCCGGGTCCCTCTGCTAGTAGAAACAGAATTAGGGTGCTAGCTTGTTGACATCTTGTGCTCTGTGTGTCCAGCAGAAGGTCACGCTGCCTCACTCATTTACAGACTCAGCCTAACCGCTCATTGTCACATGGGTCAGAGCTGAGCTTGTTAACCAGTCGGGCAGTCGGCCAGCCACCTCTGCTCCCAGCCAGTACACCCTCTGGTCAGCTGCAACACAATGAGCTATTGTAGTGGAGACGCATTTGGACCGATTTCATGTCAACACACAAATATCTTGAATTTTAAATGGTGCATTAGAACGAGAAATACAGCGTGTGAAATTCTGCTTTAAGCACAAAAACGGAACACAAGAGTTGGCATGTGCAGGGTATGTAGAGGTTTTATTTCTGGCTATGCATCCAAGTTCATATCTGTGCACGTTTGTGTCACCAGGAGTTAGTTTTTGAACCAGCGAACTAACTTGCATGAAAGATCTGGCAGTTATTTTTACACCAGATGCCCGTCCTCATGCAACCTGGGCTCGAACCCACAACCTCAGGATTGCAAGAACAAGGCACGGACCACCGAGCTACTGCAGCCTATAAATACACCTCGAGCACAGCAATTCCCTAAAAACAAAAAAATCTCCAATCTAGGTTCGTGTTATACTCGGTGCTCACAAATAACCTAGCCTAACTTTAAAAAAAAAAAAATGCAGAAATGTTATTTTTGAGAAACTTACATCTCACAATTTGAAACATGGCGTCTGCCCAACTTTTGACTCCAACTTGATCTTTTGTTTATCTTGATTAATTGTTTTTTCACCATTTAAGGTACACCTGAGTTTAAACTGAAGCCAACGAAAAATTAAAATGTATTTTACTGTAGACTCCAACAATTAGACATTACTACTACTCATAACGCATAGAGGTCTAAACGGTTTATGAAGAGTGGGAAGATATTCTGAAACGTCTCAACTATAAAAATAAAGTTTGCATTTGATGTAGAAGTTTAATTCTGTCATTTTTCATAGTTTTGAACGACAATTTGACCACAACGGTGAAGTAACTGGCGACAGACGCTGATGATTTAATGCTGATGAGAACTTATCCTAAACAAGTGGCATCTTATAAACCAAATGTAGAATTTTTGTTGAGACATGAACGATGCCGACCTTCATGTTGCATCTGAACCAAAAGCACCAAATAAAAACATCCAATCAGTTTTTTTAGCCTTACAGAAACACAATAAAAACACTTCCAGGAAGTGCCCAAGTGATTTGTAGACCGAGTGAAAGTTTAGTTTCTGTCGAGACGTTTACTCTTCTTTCTGTGACAAAGCACAACCAGTCCCTAAAGATTTCACAACATTGGAAAAAGAAATCTAAGAGCAGAACTAATCCATGTGTAATCAGACAAGAACTGAGCAGAAACCATCTAAGACTAGAGGAAAATTCCTTCAAAAAAAAATACTAATTTTAACACTTAAAATATTGTACTTTTATAAACTACGACGTTTGAGGGCAGTTTTCTGTAGTATGGTTTGAACAGCATGACTCGGGTCGTGTCCCATCGCTTGGCTTGTGTGACCTCATCATAAACCCAAATTACATTCCATCATGTTTTCTAATATCTCACCCAAAAAGAAATGGGTTTCCACGCGTCACTGAATCACTGCCGTCTTTGGTAACACACCAACAACAACAGAGATCTTAAGACGACACGATCACATTTCTGCTCTGGACTTTAACTCCTGATTCAGAGGGGTGTATCCAGAAGAGCAACTGTCCCAAAGAAAAGGGCATTAAGGACAATACGCTAAAATCCAAATAGTTTTAAATCGGTTTCAGCTCCACCCGAGTGGGAACACTTCACCGAATTGCAAGCGCACAGTGGGTGTGAAGCACTCAAAGCGTCTGATCCAATGATGAGTCTATCCAGCAGAAACCAACACAAGAACTCCAAATGAGTCCGACAGTCACATTAGATAAATAAAAAAAAATAGAAAATCTGCTTTATTGTGCAGCTCTAGCAGCATCATTGAATGCACCGTCCAAAGGATTCTCCGAGGCCACATTTTGACAAAACCCCACGTTTTTAAACACATCTGAGGCGCTGGTCACGCAGAGGAAGAACTAGCCGATGAAAACGTCCCATCGGGAATTCATCTTTCCTTTCAACTCACCGTCAGCCCGTGCTGTTTGGCTGAAACATTAGTACAAGTTTTACTGCGGTATTCAGCCAAACGTTTAAAGTTTTGGGGTCTTTTCTAACTGGTAGTACTCAATAAGGCTACTGAATGAAGTTCTAACCAAACTATGGTTCACGTGAATGTTAAGCTCAGTCAATAAAAAACAGAAACAAAATGGACTATGTAAAATGGAGTTGCTTTATGGAATAGTCTGGAAAGAAGTACCTCCTTGATTTAACAACAAAGTATTGTGTTTATCATTCAGACAGCTAAAAGTTATAAAGCCATAAAGTATACATTGAAAAAGGATATACAAGCAAGTGTTATTTACTTGACAAAAGGTTAGCATAAAGAAATAAGCTTGAACTAAGCAGAACATTTCTTCACATTTTAATCCCCATAGTTCTCGACACACGTGAGCCTAAAACAACAGCAAATCTGGCTGAAGGCGTTTCTAGTAAACACAGCTCTGTAAGTAATCTCAGCGTGAGAATATTTCTGAAGCCATACAAGTGAAAACAACCAGAAACATTAAAACACAACTGTTTCAGATATGAAAAAAACTGTTGCTTTAGAAGAAATAAGAAGCATTACCTTGAATCCGGATGAGTACTTGCAGTAGGAACATGTACTTCCCTGACACTGAAAGTGTAGTAAATTATTTTATTTTCTATTAAAAGGTATGGCACCACTGACCATCCATTAGCTGCAAGTATCAAGTGTCTAATGTGTTGCTTTATGGCTCAAAGTCAACGGTGAAGGGTTATAAAAGGATCCTGAAAGAATAGTTTCTGTATCTGAGCACACTTTTATTTTTCAAGCTGCAAAGATGGAGAATACAAGTCTGACGGGTCACAGCTCAGGAAAAACCTGAACGTCGATCCTTACAGTGGATCGTGTGGATTTACAGGAGGATGGGTCTAATGTGGTATCTCCCTGGGATGCATGTGAGGCTTCTAAAGGGTTAGGGGTGACAACAATTATTACAAATTGACCACCTTTGTTAAAAGACAACATTTCTGTTGGAGGCGTTTGTTCATCTCCCTCTGGATTATGATGCCTAAATTCAAAAGGGTGTTAAGTATCACAGCAATGCATGAAGAGATTGATAATGTGATTTAAATATTACTTCAGCAATCTGAAGATTTAGCACCGATGTGTTCCATCACCGCCACATGTGGGCACGTTAAAGAATCTAAGCTAGCTCGACAAGTGACTTTCAGATTCCATGTTGTGGACAGAAAACAGACCAACAGTACTGAACCTGTTCTCAAGAATGCCGACAGACTAGTGAGGCAGGCCTGAATGTTGAGATCATCGTGAGGATCAGCTGTCTGCCAGAACTGCCAACAACCCCACACTCTGAAAAGACATTCCCATCACGGTGTTTGGGATAAATGTGATTATTCTGCCATTATTCTGACGGAGTCACAAAGTCAGTGGATCATGGAAACTTTGCAGCCAGAGGGGGAACCCATACCGTTTTAATTTAATACCTGACTGGAAAGACAATAAAAAGCTTCATACCAATTGGAATCGCTAAAAACTAAAACACAATGATCCGTTCAGCGTGTCAAAAGCATGACATTTGTCATAGCTTAAAAAAACAACTACCAAAAAAATATATATCAGTCTTTAAATTGGTGTTTCTGTCCCATGACAGCCCTTTATCACCTCAGCCAACAGCTTCCTCGTGCTACAAAAACAACGTCAACTCGCAGGTCACACCGATAAGGAGGGGTTTAAACAGGTCGTATTGTTCAGAACGAACAACAGCTTCCAAATTATGTGGCGCTCGTTTACCATCGAGGATGTCAGCAACACAAATTCATGTTTAAAAACGGCTGCTGAGTTAATATTGCTTTAAATATATTTAGGCTATTCTGGTAGATTTTGGAGTCGTCACAGTCACTGAAACTGCTGGATTGCTCAACTACTGCCTGCAACGGTTCAACTGCTGCCGATCACAACAGCGAGAACGCAGTGG